ATACTGAACGTGATTACTGAACAACTAGTGATTCAATTCACTTGATTTTAGATTCATTAGATAGATCTCGATTTTCTCTTTCAAATGAATGTAAATTTATTTGTATAGCTTATTTCTACGAAGAATTATCAATGATTTTGTCATGAGAGTTATATTTGATCTTTTAAATTTTAAAGATATCTTATATTAAAAAAAAATTAAAAATTATATAATTAATTAGTTTTTTTTGCATTATCTAGTATAAATTTATTATTCTTATATAAATGATAATTTATATTTGCTTTAATAAAATTATTTTTGTGTAAAAAAATTAGATTCCAAGGATCAGCCCATATGTATTTAAAATTATACTCGTTTTAGCTTTTTTCTTTTTGATAGTATTTACAGAAGGTTCGACTGAGCCAACTGGCTGATTCGTTCTACCACGACCATGACCACGACCACAGCTATTACCACAACTTCGCCCACCACTATTTTTTCCACGATCTTACAATTAAAATAAAAAAATTAAAAAGTAAATAAAAATTTTGCGACAACATTGTAATTGTATATTAAAAAAAAATAAAATTTGCATCAATATTGCAATTTTATATAAAATAATTACTTGCGATTTCTGTTATTTCATTTGATGCTGTAACTTTTCGCACTTTTTGTACTCTTGTCATTATAAATAACTATTACTGTAGACACGAAATTTGAAATAAATTATTTTTAGTTACTAATTTTATTATTGTGTATGGTAGGTATGGTAGGTAAGAAACAAAGTTTATCGTTATATAAGGGAAAATTTAAAAGACTATTTAATATTTATTTAAGCTTAATATAAGAAAAGTCTATATCTATTTAGGAAATAATTTAAATAAGCTTCTATATATATTTCAATAAATAAACTTTCTACATCAATGTCGATAAATAAAATTTTATATCGAAAATGAAAATAAATTTTATGTTAAAAATGAAAATATTGTCTAAGAAAAAGAGTTTTTTACAATTTTTATTTTTGAATTTTTTTTTTGAATTTTTCACTAGTAATAACAATATCAACTCATTGATTAAAAAGCCTTCGCCCTTAAGCAATTATTCATACTGTTGTCCTTAAACTAAGGATGACGCCGCAAATAGGCAATTGCGGAATAATTGCGATTTGCGGTATTGTGGAACATTGCGGATTTTGAAGTCTAAATATCTGCAAATCCGCAATTCGCAATTATTCGCAAATCCGCAAATATTCCGCAATTCCGCAAATGATCTAAAGTACCGTAATTCAATTGCGGTACAATTGCAGTACTTTACGAAATTGCAGAACATTTGCGGATTTGCGGATTTGCAGATTTGCCAATTATAGTCCGCCAGTCCGACACAGATTATCAGATGAATTGCGTAGTACAAATCATCTGATGATCTCTTTTTCTTTTTTATTGAAGTTTCCGGATAAAAATTATGACTGAACTTTTTAAAATGGAGTCATGTAGATAAGGAGAAACTGGACAGCAAGTTGTTTTTTTTAATAAATTTATTTTTTTTTTTTGATTTTGTAGAGTTGCCGGACGAAAAGTATGGCCGGACTTTTGAAATTGAGGTAAGAGAAGGACCGGGAAGGATTTTCGTTATTTTTTTTAAAATTTATTTTTTTTCATTTTTGTAGTGTTGCCAGATGAAAAGCTCAAGATAAGGGAAAACCAGAAAGGGTTTTCATTATTTTTTTTAATAACTAATTTATTTTTTTTTGTTTTTGTTGAGTTGCCAGAAGAAAAGCATGACCAGACTTTTGAAATTAAGGTAAGGAAAAATCGGGAAGGGTTTTTGTTGCTTTTTTTTTTAATATTTTCAAACTAATTTATTTTTTTTTTTCATTTTTGTAGAGTTGCCAAACGAAAAGCATGACCAAAC